TTCTGAACTACCCCAACTTAAAAGGCGCTTTCTCTCTGGGGGTTCCCATCGACTCTACTGCAGACACCACCCATATGTTCTTTTGGGTCACCCGCCTTGACTGTTCAGCTCTTTTCTTAGGGAGGGGGGTGTGTGTGTGTTGTCTCTGCCGGGAGGCAGGAAGCATCCTTGTTTACCTTCCAACTAGCTTGCCTCTTCCTGCAAAGGAGGTGCTCGATACACATTTGCTGACTGAAAAGTGTGAGGAGACATCCCAGAAAAATGATTTTTCTTTTTGAGTCGGGGTCTCTGTCAACCAGGCTGGAGTGCAATGGCATGATCGTGGCTCAACACAGCCTCAACCTCCTGGGCTCAGGTGATCCTTCCACGTCAGCCTCCCGAGTAGCTGGGACTACAGGTATGGGCCACAACACCTGGCTAATTTTTTGGTGTTTGTGTAGAAGCAAGGTCTCACTCTGTTGCCTAGGCTGGTTTTGAACTCCTGGGCTCAAGCAATCCTCTCGCTTTGGTCTCCCCAAGTGCTGGGGTTACAGGTGTCAACCACTGCGTCTGGCCCCAGAATAATGAAGTTTTTATCTTGGGGTCAGGTGGAAGTGAAGGTGTCATCTGAACCTCAAAGACGGTGTCTACAGGTCTCTTCCTAGAGATGAGGAGGAAAGACCTTGTTGGAACTATGGCTCTGGAGCTCAGAGAAGTCAACATGGTCACATTAGCCTGTTCCCATGTGTCTAATCCATGAGACTGGTAGAGAACGGTGCCAGCAAAAACCAAGGAACCCGTGGCTGAAACCACAGACTCGTCCAGAAAAAAAGCAGCAAAGGAGGAGAGCCAGGAGAAGAACCCACACCACCCTCGATCCCTCCTTGAGACCGCTCTTATGACACGCACCACCTTCAGTCTTTTTGAGTGATTTGGGCGCAAGTCTTAAGTGCCCTGGTGAAGGATACGTTCCTTAGAGAAAGGACAGTGTCTGAGCTCTTCTTTGTATACTCCTTGGTCACTAGACCACATAGACACACAAACCCTGACACCTGGCAGTTGGTCAACAGATGTCTGTTGAACGGATGCCGCATCTTTATAGCTATGTCAGGTCCTGAGGAAGCCACGCTAGGATTCCTGCCTTTGAGGGTCTCCGCCCAGTGGGGGACTCAGACGTACACACTGAACAGATGCAGCGGTCACCCTGCCAGCACCAGGGAAAAGGTCGACAGAGTCCCTATTTCCATGAAACTCACTCTGTGACCATCCCGCGGGATCATCCAATCTGCTTGGATGAGGGGACTCTGTCCCAGTGATAAATCTGATCTGGGACAGGGCTGGGTCTGCCCTTGGGCTTCAGTGCTCTACATGCACACACACACACACACACACACACACACACACATACTAAATCAAACATAATCGAACAGTGTATGTCTGAGAGGCATGGGGGGGGTCACAGCGCCCAGTGTGCCAATTCTAACACCCAGAACGGCTGCCTGTCCTCCATAGGAACTGCCAGGCCGTTCACCAACACCTTGGGAGAAGCAAAACGCTTTTTCCTCTCGCTGTCAAATGAGCTTTGGCATATGTGTCTTCCGTTATTAAAATTCCCCCAGCTGGATGGCAGGGTGACCATTTGGGGGGTTTGGAGCTGGTCGTCAACATCAGAGCCCCTGGCCCCCCGGGTCCCCCCTCGGCTGAACCTTCGGGGGGCTCTTTCCATCTTTGTCACATCAGCTCCTTTTCTTCTAGCTCAGCCTCCTTCCAGCACCCTGAGGTCTGGGGTGAAGCCAGGCTTTCCGGGGGACCCAGCCTGGCTGCTCCTGAGTGGATAGAATCTCCTCCCAGTCAGCCAAGACCCAAGGAGCAGATTCCTCCTGGGGTCACAGTGCTGCATTTTTGCAGCCCCTCCCTCCCCCTGCTTGCCCTCCGCCCTTGCCCACATGGTATGGGCACCGCTCTCTGCCTCTCCTCCCACACTTGGGGGACAGCTGGCCGTGGCTCTGCCCTGTCCACCGCAGCCAGCACCAGTCTCTCAAGGCCACAGGACAAACCACAGGACAGGCCGGCTTCTAGCCGTTGCCCTACGGAGGCACTTCTGCTCCCCAAGGGGTGCTCAGGCCCAGAGCTCTGGGGCCCCAGGGACCACCCAGGAGGAGAACAGGGCGGAGAGGGCAGACGGCGGGCCCAGGACTAGCACTCACATCTTTGACTCTCAAATCTGCCATCTTCATGGAGAACCAGGCTGCGTCTTGGGGACCTGGGGAGGGCTCCCATGTCAAGATCTTCTCACTGGAAGTGTGGAAACCCTCCCACAGGGGGCTACCCATGGCTTAGACAGGCCTGTGGCCTGTCACCAAGGGGACAGTGGCAGCTGAGTGTCCCTTCAGGGCCACATTTGAGAGGGGCCAGATGCTAGCTTGCCTCGGAAGACGCAGTGCCCTGGGCGGCCCGGCCAGCTGGCTGTGGGGCAGGAGGGGGCTCGGGGTGGTAACAGCTTGGCTGGCAGAGTGGGCCCTGGCACCCGGTCACCAGTGGGCCGGGCAGCCCAACAAGTGTGTTTTCTTACGGACTCTCCCCACCAACACCCGCTTCCCCCCCAAAAACATAACATCACCGTGTTTGCTCTGAGCGGGGTGTGATCCTTTGCCAAGAGATGTAATTTGAAGATTGGTGTGGCCTTTGGAGGTGCTTGGGAACGGCCTCTCTGGAAGGGGCCTCCCGCCCGACTCGGCCGGGCACTTTACATTTTCCACTTGGGTGAGAAAAATCTTGGATCGTCCCACCCCACACATCCCAAAGGCCAAATATTTGCTGTCTGCCCTGCCGCTTCCATCTCAGGTAGGGGTGGCGGCTCTTCTGGCTGCTGGGGAGGGAAGTTCTGGAAACCGAAGCCTGTCAGTCCCTGGCATGTGATGCAGATAAAGGAAGCTTTCCCAGAGACTGGAGGAAAAACACACAAGAGCTGCCCTCAGGGCCTCAGGGGGCAGGGACCCTGCCCCACCAGGGACGAGGAGGTTGGTTCTGATCAGGGAAAGGAGGTGGGAGGCAGGGTTGGGCCCCTGTGTGGGTCCCCCCTGCTCCCCGCCAGCCAGGGGGACCCGGAAACCACGTCATTAGGTCCACATTGGATCCCTCCTCCTTAATATTCATTCGTACCGGATGGTCCTGCTTGTTGCTGATCTTTATTTTATGCTATTTTGAGACAGTCTTACTCTGTTGCCCAGGCTGGAGTGCAGGGGCGCGATCCCAGTTCACTGCCGCCTTGACCTCCTGGGCTCAGGTGATCTTCTCACCTCAGCCTCCCCAGTAGCTGGGACTACAGACGCACACCATCACGCTTGGTTGATTTTTTATTTTTATTTTTTGTAGATACGAAGTCTCGCTATGTTGCCCAGGCTGGTCTCGAACTCCTGGGCTCAAGTCAGCCTCCCGCCTCAGCCGCCAGAATGGCTGGGATGACAGTGGTGAGCCACCGCGCCTGGCAGGCCCTGCCTCTTTTATTCTCACTATGTTTTCTCAAATCCACTCTAGAATGCATAGCATCTTACCACCATCATCGAGGCCCAAGGCGGGGTGGCCCAAGGCCCGTGGTAAGATGTGGCCTAAGACCTTTCTGGAGACTTCTGGCCATGGCCTGGCCTGGCCTGCTGACCGGGGAGGGTACAGTTAAGAGCGGGAGCTCAGTGGGTGAGGCTTCTCACCGCCTGCCAGAGGAACTCCCTGGGGCTGATTATAACTTGCTGGGCTCTTCCCAGCCATCCAGGACATGGTGAGGCCAGCAGGAAGCACAGACAGCGGCAGGAGGAAAGGAACTGACAGAGAGGCAGGGTGGATACTGGACTACAAGCCAGAAGCCCTGGGCTCTGGCCCCCGCCTCTCCCCTGACTAGCTGTGAATCTTAACAAGTCACTTCTACCCACAGGACCAGCTACATAATTTGTGGGGCTCAGTGTGAAATGAAGGGGACGGGGCCGTGGCTGGACATGGTGGCTCACACCTGTAATCCCAGCACTTGGGGCGGCTGAGGTGGAAGGATCGCTTGAGGCCAGGAATTCAAGCTGAACCTGGACAACAAAGTGTCTATAAAATTTTTAAAACATTAGTCGGGCGTGGTGGCTCTCGTCTGTAATCCCAGCTATCTGGGAGGCTGAAGCGGGAGGATGGCTCAAGCTTAAGAGGTGGAGCCCACAGCGCATGATGATTGTACCACCCCACTCCAGTCTGGGGGACAGGCTTCCTGTCTCAAAAACAAATAAGAGAAGAGAAAGTGGGGGAGGGTCCCGTTAAAAAATGAGTAAGAATTTCAAGACGGCACCAGCAGAGCTGTCAACCAAGCGTGGGACCCTGCAGGAGGGTGCAGGCTGCACACCCATGCAACCAGCCCTACCCGCTTGGGTCTTAGTTTCCTCAAGGATATAGTGTGGAAGCTGCATTCAATCAGAGATTTACCGAAGGAGCCCATTCTTCTGAGCCCTCCGACCCTTATATATAAAAGAGACAACCGGGCCACCCTTTCGGGTCCCCTCCCACTCTGGGAGCTTTCCTGTCCTCTCAATAAATCCTACAAAAAAAAAAAAAAGACAACCGCAGCTGCTCCCCCGGTCGAAGCAGACTTGAGGGGTCTGGCTTCACCACCCACCCTCACGCCTGTCAGTCACACCTGAGGGCAGGGCTGTGAGCCCCAGGATGGTCTGTTTCAGTCTCAATATTCAGCGGGCGGAGGAGGTGGTGAGCTCTCTCGGCTAGGAACACGTTAGGACCACAAGCATCTGCCCGGGATGCTACCGGAGGATGGCTGAAAGGCACCAGAGGCGGCATCTGAAGACCCCAAAGTTTCCCTGTGCCCTGGGGTCACGCCAAAGCCGGCCTCTAGCCTCCAAACGAGCTTGCAGAGCACGGTGCTCTCTCCTGGGCCTCAAGGAAGCCAGGTCCAGAACTGCTGCTTGGGACCATGCCCGCTCCTTCATTTCCCTTCCAAGAACCCTGTCAGTGCAGCCTTGGCGACGGCTCCCTACCCTGGGAGCGCGGGGTTCTGGACCCCGGGCCTCCCCGGCTGCTTTGCCCCAGGAGGGCAGGGCGGGCAGGCTTCAGCGATCGGGAAGCGCAGGGCCTGGGCTGGGGGCTCTGACACGCCCAAGGTCCTGGAGGAGAGGCCTGGGCCCGGGGCTGGGGAGGAGGTCCGCTGCGGGCCCCGCGGGCCGGCGCCACCTTTCCGCGCGGACGGGTCAAAGGGATCGGACGCTTCTCCGGACCTGGAGAGTGTCTGGGCCGCGCGCGGGGGCTCGGCCC